GTCGATCGATCAGCCCGGCAAGCCCGTCGGAGTTGTCCGAGAGCGCGCGGCAGAGAACCATTCGCGGTTCCACGGCGCGCTGAACGATCCACGGGGGCGAGCGGAATGCAGCACCCGCGACGGCGCCCCCCAGAATAATGACAGGGATGGTCCGAGAGACGACAGCGTTCACGGTGTCGCGCTCTTCGTTGCACGCCCATTTCAATGCCGCCCCCCGCCCCCATCTGCCCCAAAACATCGGCGCCCGTCACGCAGCCCCCCGGGCGCAGAGCGGCGCCTACAGGAGAGACGCGGCAACTGCTGTCGAATCGCTCAGAATCAACGCCTTCACCTCGGAATGGAAGCCCTGGCTGGGCGGGGGCCTGCGACGCGAAAAACAGCTCCGCGGCGCGGCGCAAGATGCGCGGGACGATGATGGCGAGATGGCGATAGGCCCCTACCCAGGTCACGATGTTGGTTGGCTCTGCCGTCGATCAAACTCCGCATCGGCCGCAGAGGCGCCGGGCTCCGCCCGCAAGAGGCTCCAGCCACGCCGACGGGCCGGGCCTGCGCAGGCCGCAAACAGAGCGAGCGACTCGCCCCGCGGCGAATCAGCGATGAAAAATGGGTTCACCCAAGGACGCGGCCGACCGGGAAATCGCGGGCCACCCGCGCCGACATGCGCCATGTCCGCGGGGCGCGGGGGGGGCTGGGGGCCCGCGCTCGCCCCTCGCGCGGGGGAGGCCTGCCTCCGGCCCCGCCCGGGGCACAATGGGATGGCCTGCAACCCTTGCGCGGGCCAGGACAACCTCCGGGCCGCTGCTCGGCCGCGCGCCCGAGGGCCGCGGCAGCAGAGGCCCCTGCTTGATGGCGGGGGGAAGAAGATGAGGAAACCGCCTCCCTCCGTCGCTGGCGGGTTTCCCATCGTCGATCGCCGCGGCCCCGACCGCGGCCCCTGCCCTCGTCTCGCCGCCGCCCCCGCCAGCAGGGCTGGCGGCTCTGGAGCTCCGCGACCTGCCTGTCCTGCTCCGACTGCGTCTCGGGGCCCATGCCCTGCAAGCTCCTTTCTTCGCCCCCGTTGGCGGCGTCGGCGTCTCCAGTATTTGGGCGCCTTCTCGCGGCTTCGCGCGCCTGGCCCCCCGCCCCCGCTCGCCCAGACGGCCCAAGGGGGCCGGCAGCCGCTCTCGGCGGCAACGGCGGCCTTCACGGGGCGGCTGCGCATCGCCGCCCCCCGACGCGATGCCGCGTGGATCGGCGGGCGGCCCCCTCTGCGCTTCCGGCGCCGCGCCAAACTCTCCTCGGCGATGGCGCTGGCCGCCCGGGCGTCGACGGAGTCGGGGTTTCTGGGGAGAGGCGAGCCTTCGACTGGAAATGCTACCTGACGCGGAGCCACAGCTGGTGGGCCCCAGCGATGTCGACGTCAACCGCCTCCGCCGTCGCCGGGGCCCCCGGGCGGAGAACTGTTCCGCCTGCGTCCGCGACCTTGTCCAAGGGCGCCGCTGCGAGGCAAATCCGCGAGGGGATGTCGGAATAATGGCGCGGCGCCGCGTGGGCACCTTTCCGAAGAATGCTTACTTGGTAACCCACGAGGGGCCTCTCGAGGTGGAATGGTAACTTGTGTGTTTCGGCCCGACCCTCGCGCCCCGACTTCTCCGAGTCGGCCGGCAGGGGGGGGGGGGTCGTCGGAAAGGCTCGGGCCGCCAGGCGGCGCGCGCCCGGCGCCGCGCCCGCGACCGCGGTCATTTCTGCCGGCCCACGGCGCACGGCCCCCTCAAATTGAAACGAAAGCGCCAGGTTCTCGCGCGCCCCCCCCCCCGCCGCGGCCATCTCTATCTCCGCGGCGCCCGCCGGGGCGAGACAAGGCGCGCCGCGAAAGCTTTGCGTTTCCACGAACGTCCTCATCGGCGAAACTTCGCCGTGGATGCCCATGGCAACCTGTGCCACCAGCGCTCCTGCGAGCGCGCGAGCCGCGCCCGGGCGCAACCGCAACGCGGGCGATAGGAGAGCGACGGGCACGCGGCTCTGCCGTTGGGGCCCGAGGCTACATCAAGCTTGCAGCACGAGCATGCGAGCGAACATATGACAACAGAGGGAAGGGGCAATCCGCGATCCGCTGTCTGGCCATGGCCCCGCGTGCTCTACAAACCCAGATTCCATTCAATTCCACCCCGAATTTCCCGATCTATACGTCTGCTCGCAGTGGCCCAGAAGCTGGAGGAAACGCCGCGGACGCAATGCTCTGGGCGCGCCCGCCACCACTTCTATAATTTTTTGGGGGGACAACAAATGATTCAAACATAAAAAACTCGGAGGTCCGCGCGGATTTCTCGGATCGGCGCTGGGGCCCCCCGGCGGCGCCACCGGCGCCGCCCCTGGCGCGCTTCGCGCGCCGGGGAGGGGGGCCCAGCGCCGATCCGAGAAATCCGCGCGGACCTCCGAGATGTTATACCCCTAGTTTTAGAACTGAGGAACTGAGGTCGCGCAGGCAGCCACGCGGCCTTGCGCGCGCGCCCCGAGCGACCGCGGGCGGCGCGGCAGACCCAAGCTGGGCCCCGCCGCTCCAAGGGGGACACCCCTATTCGCGCACTGCCCCGCGCAGTGCACGCGCACATGGGTGGCCGAGGGCGGGAGGGAGGAGAGGATGGAGGAGAGGAAATACTGGGAGCGGACTTCATGGTGGAATGCGTGGGAGGAGGGTCTTGTTACCCGACGAGGGGGTGGCGAAGGCGAAAAAGTTAGCTGCGGATTCGACTGGACTCGACTGCCCTGATCAGACCCGCATGGAACGCGACTCCAGGGCCGACGAAGCGGAGCACGGCCACCCCCAAGGCTATCATGGGCGACGAAGAAGGCGTCAAGTTTGCCTGCCTTGGCCCCAGGAGCTCTGCCCGAAAATTGTGGCGATAACCAGTGTTGTAGCTGATGGCGGCCAGCTGCCACCCTGACTCCAGCGCTGTAGCTGCGGGTTCCAGCTTCGACTAACTCATCGCGCAGGGCGGCAGCAGTGATCGCTGCCGTTGCTCGCTCTTCTCGCGCGACTTCGGCCTCTGCCTTCGCGCGCGTGCGGACCCCAGTACTGCAGCTGACATCGGGCGGAGCTTCACCTTTTCAGCTTGCTTCCACGCCCTGGCCCCGCGCTGTGCATAATGATCTCGACTTGCACCTTCGCCAACCTCCCGTCGGCGCCAGAGACGGCGGCCGCGGTTTGCCTTCCCGCGACTTCGCCTCCCGCTTTTCGCACTGAGGTATCCTCGCGTCCCTGTGCCCCGACCTTGTAGCTGATGGCGTATGGCTCCAGTTTTGTCTCTCAGAGTTTCTCGCACGCGCTGGTTGTAACAGTGTGTCTGCTGACGACTTCGGGATCCAATTCCGCCTCCCGCTTCTCGCAAGAGGATAGCGGAGCCACCTGTCGCTGTTTATTCTCGCGCACCTGGATACCTATGCTGTGGCTCATGCGATTGGGCTCGAGTTTCGCCTTCCTTCCTCGTTTCGGGAAGTAGCGCCAGAGCCTGCTACAACTGATCGCCCTTTGCGCACTCGCTGCTGCCAGCGCTGTTTCTGACGATCTCGGGCTCCAGCCTCGCCGCCAGCTTGTCACTGGGTAGCGCCACTGCCGCCTGTCGCCATTGCCTCTTCTCGCGCGACGTGATGCCAGCTCTGTAGCCGCCGACGTCGGGCGCTAGTTTCGCCTTTCAACTGCTACCGTGCGGATCAATATTGACTTCAACGTTGTAGCCCGTGGCCATTGTCGGTCCTCTCGCACGGCCAGGCTGATGCCAAGGCTGTAGCTGATGATTGGCTCTCGCCCCGTTTACTCGCAATGACTGTATTCTGTCGCGGCACGCCGTCGGCCTTGAACCAATCCAACCGTTTGGCTCACGCTTCGCGTTATCATAACGACGGTGTGCAATGTTACTGCCCACCTTCTCGCATGAGCTGGCCCCAACGTTGTAGCCGATGATTGGCTCCGGCACCGCTTCTTCGAAATGACTGCGTGCACGGTCATTGGTCCCTTCTCTCGCACGAGCTGACCCAAACAATGTCGCAGATTATTGACTCGCGCCCCGCTTTCTGTCTCGCACGCTCTGGCCGCTTCATGGCAGCAGAGGGTGTTTGCCCGCACTTTCCCGCGCGAGCTTGCTCTAGCACTGCAGCTGAGGTCGGCTCGCACGCTTTTGCATGGCTCGGTCGAAGGGTGCTGAGGAGGACAAGGACGAGGACATGGAGGAGAGGAGGCAGGAGGGCGAGGTCGGCGGAGGGGGAGGCAGATGGGGGAGCAGAGGGGCGAAGTGGAGAAGGGAGAAGGGGAGCAAGCCAGCATCGAGGATCCATTCAGGGCAGGAGACTCACAGGGAGCACGAGGAGGGGCCCCTCTGGTAAGAGGAGCAACCTCCTCGAGCACGGGGCGAGGAGCCGGGCAGCCCCCCACGTCCACACCCCCCCCCCCGCCCTCGCGGGCCTGAAGTTGGACAGCCCTCCCTGCCGCGACAGTTCCAGGAGGAACAGGCCGCGCTGGTCGGCCGAGTCGTTCATGGACAGCTGCTCGAGGCACACGGAGTTCCACATCTGCGGAGGCGGGGCAGAAGGCCAGAGGATGGGAGAGGTGGAGAAGAACGGGGAGGGTGGGCACAAGAGGGGGCCCGACTCGACTCGACCGACGCTGCGGCGCCATGGAGCTACAGGCTGGCTGGGGACGACAGACGGGGAGGACGGGGGGAGGGAGAGAAGGGCGGCTGGGCAGGGAGGCGCCGCAGCGCCCGAGGGTGCGATCCACCCAGTCTTTTCGAGGCTCTGCCGGACGCGCTACGAATGGCTAAACTGCTGCCTCATCCCACCACAATGACCTCACTCTACCAGCCGTCCGACGCCGGTGACACCACATGGAGATACACCCCCGAATGCAGCGTCAACCATGCGCAGGCCGGCCTTGGCGGCAAGCCACAGCCCAGTCTTGAAAATCGAGTTGCGCGTGTACCTCGAGAAGATCAGAAAGAGGGTCCGCGAGCAACGGAACATGTCTGCGCCCCTGTCACCCTTTCTTCCTCTGACGTCTCAAGCTCCTTGTCAACCAACCATGTCATGCCTCTCCAGCAAGATATACACGTTCGCAAATCCCCGTATGGTCCCTTTCTTCTCTCGTCGTGCTATGACAGTAGGAGCTCGACAACCACGCTCCCCACAGCAGAACCATTGAAACCCAAGAAACGCAAAACACTCTGGAGGCAGACAAAGGGTTTCTAGGCAGTGGTTCCCGCTTTATTATTCTGGCCGTGCTGCTCCACGTTCTCTTCCTCCACAACTGAAATGAATACAAATCCCAATATTCGCAATATGTTCATATATTTTTGGGTTTTTCGTCTTCCCCACCACTTCCCATATGTACCCATATTTTCTGGGGAGTCGACGATTCATCATGTCTGTGTGCTTTTCCACTCCTGATCCTCGTCTTCCGCATGCTGCTCCTCCTCCACGTGCCGATGCCCGCTCGTACCTCTCCAAAGAAAGATGGCACTGCAAGTGGGGAGAACGCCGACGACACGAACATATTCACCTAGGAGACATGGACGAAGAGGACGAGGAAGAGAGGAAGAAAAGGTGCATCAGGAGGAGACGCGGAAGGGTGCAAAACGAAGCTAGGACGAGGATCACATCGGGTACGGATAAATCGATCATCTCTTGGATCGGGCGGCTCGAGAGGATGCCTCGGGCACCACGGCCTTCTCAGAGCGTTCTGGAGCGTTCTGGATTTCTGCTCGTCCTAGCCCCGTCCGGTAGGTGGACGACGAAGGATGGGGGAAGAGGAGCATCAAGGCGAGCCGAAATGGGGAAAAAAGGTGGGGACGAGGAGGGGTGGTCCACCCCTCCGCAATCACTCCACATGAATACTACTCTCCCTTCTCCCCTGAATCTCTAGGGCGATTGCCCCGCCCTCTCCGCGCACGGTTTCTTACACAGGATGTCATTGCTTGGTCGTTCGTACTGCTTCTTACAAGCTGGCCTTTGTTCGGTCCCAGAATGGTGGTGCTGCTGCTGCGCGGGCCACTATTTAGGATCGGAGCGGGGTCACGTTTCTGGATTCGAACCCTCCCTCCGTTCCCCTCCTATGCCGTCCCCTGGTCCTCCTGCTCCGCCCGTCCTTCCACTCCGACTCCTGCTGCTGCGGTGCATCCTCGTCCTCCTCCTTCCTCATCCTTCTTTTCCTCCTGTTAATCCTCCTGCCCATCGGCCACCTCATCCTCCTATATATCCATCTTCTTTCGACTGCACATATCACGATGGGCCCCGTGTTGGTACTCCAGGTCACGCGTCGGCAACTGCAGACAGAGATCAGCACAGTGGGAAGGACTAGATAGGATGGGGAAGGATGCGAGCTATGGCGTGGGCGTACCTGGCTGGTCGCTTAACCCCTCTTCCCTTGAAGGGTCCCTGGGACACACAAATACATAGACACAGATATCCTGACTCCCCATCTTTTTTCACAGGTTTTCTGGGTTTTGCTCTTCCCTTCCACTTCCCATATGTTCCCATATTTTCCTGGGAATCGACGGTTGATTGTGTCTGTGTTTTTTCCCCAAGGGCTCCCAACTTCGCGCTTCGCGCTGCGCGAAGCGCGGATTGCGAATAACTTCGCGCTCTCGCGCCGCCTCCCAGGGGAGAAGAGGAGCATGAGGAGGAGCCGAGGCCGAACCGCGAAGCGCGAATAACTTCGCGCCCTCGACGGCGCCCTTGTTTTCCACTCGTGATCCACTCCTGGCACTTAGACACACATAGCCTGATGCCCCATTGTTTCACAAGTTTTCTGGGTTTTGCTCTTCCCTTCCACTTCCCATACTTTCCCACGTTTTCCTGGGAGTCGACGGCTGCTTGTGTCTGTGGCCGTGATTTTTTCCTCTCCCGATGCTTCTCCGCTGCAGGGGGGCAGCGGGGGCTCACCGACCCGACGCCGCTGCAGCGCACGGACGGGGTGCGGCGCCGGCGGCGCCCAGTGCTGCACCCCTGGAGCCGCCGAGGCCCCCTGGTGGGAGCGCCTCCCCCCCTCCCCCTTAGGAGGAGGAGGAGGAGGAGGAGGAGGAGGAGGAGGAGGAGGAGGGAGGAGGAGGAGGGAGGGAGGAGGAGGAGGAGGAGGGAGGAGGAGGAGGGAGGAGAAGGACGGGTCGCCAAAGCCCTCCGGAAAAGCTCTCCAGACCCCCCCCCCTCCCCCTTCTCATCCCTCGCACCTGCCTGCGCAGATGAGGGGCAACGATGACGGGGGGGGACAGGGATAGGGGGGGAAAGCTCGACCCATGATTTTCCCACAACTTCCTGGGAATCGACGGTTGCTTGTGTCTGTGTTTTTGTTCCACTCCTGATCCTTCTCCGCTGCAGGGGGACGCGGGGGCTCACGACCCGACGCCGCTGCGCGCACGGACGGGTGCGGCGTCGGCGGCGTCCAGGTGTTGCACCCCTGGAACCGCCGCCCTTCTCCTCCCTCGCATCCGCCTGCGCAAACGAGGCCGACCAGTCACAACTGGGGGAGTTGTGGTCCTTACCCCCCTGGGGGGACCCATCGCATCGACGATCTCTCGAGAGGGGTGTCGAAATCGATGGGTCCCCCATGGGGGGTAAGGAACACAGCTCTCCCAGTTGTGGCTGGCCTGTGAGGGGCAACGACAGGGGGGGGGGCAGGGATAGGGGGGACAAAATCAACTTGGAATCGGAGATGTATCGCCGATAGATCGGCGATGGGCCCCCGATAGTGGATCCGCACCTTCTTGGGCGGGGCGGTGCTATCGGGCCCCTGTCGGCGATCAATGAGCGATTGGGGGGCGCTGCATCCCCCCCCATGCCTATCCCCCCCCCCGATCGTTGCCCCCGAGCAAAATCAGCAAAAAAAGGGTACATGTAGCCGAGGTGTGGCGACGAGAACGACATGTAGGTGTGGAAGTACGCCCCGAACTCCAGGGCCAGCAGGGGCAGCGCGGCGCGCGCGATGAGCCCGCCCACGGAGTGGCAGATGAAGGATAGCCTGCGAGGGTGTGGGATAGCAGGAGCGGGGGACCACCCTGGGGGCCGCCAGGACTTCGGCCCGTCGACGACCCCTCTGCGGCTCGTCCTGCACGCACGGGCACGCGCATGCGTCGAAACGCTGCATGCCCGCAGCGGTCCAGCCACGGGATTGAGGGGAAAAAGAGAGGAGGCTAGAGCCGACGACGACGAGGAGGAGAACGAAGAGGACGACGAGGAGGAGAACGACGACGACGACGACGACGAGGAGAACGACAAGGACGACGAGGCTTGAGGAGGCTAGAGCCGACGACGAGGAGAACGAAGAGGAGGGTGAGCGGGGGACCTCTCCTCGGCGGTGCGCGAGCGTGTCCCTGCTTCGTCTCTCCTTCCTCCCGCCGCCCATGCCGTCTCTCGGACGTCCATTTCCCGTGCATGTTTCGATGTCGTGCGTTTTTTTTCGTGGGATGATCGGCCGCGAGCGGGGGGGGAGGGGAAAGAGAAGGAGAAGGCCTTCTCAGAAGGCGGCGGGACTTCTCAATACCCCTCGCGCGTTCTGAGACGTTGCCGGTGTCCTCGGGGGCGGCCTAGAAACCCGTTCAGAGGGCCGGGGGGCTTCCGGGCCTTCTGAGAAGGCCCGCCCTCTCACACTCCCTACCCGGGCTCGCCGCCCGGATGAGCCCATGCACTCCTCGACGGCTCTCGCTGCGACAAAAAAGCGCACACGTTCGAGCAATAGTAGGGCGACGAAATCTATACATATCCACTGCTCCCTGGCCAGGCCCATCCTCAACCCCGCAGCGGTGTATACGCCACGCCCTCCTGGCTTGGCCAGGAGGGCGCATACACAGCTCCTGGATTCAAGATGGGCATGATCAGGGAGCAGTGGATATGTATAGATTTCGTCGCCCGAAATAGGGGAACAAAAAGTGACATCAACATAAAATCTCGGAGGTCCGCGAGGATTTCTCGCATCGGCGCTGGACCCCCCTCCCTGGCGAGCGAGAAGCGCGCCCCAAAGGCGGCGCCGGAGGCGCCGCCGGGGGGCCCCAGCGCCGATCCGAGAAATCCTGTGCGGACCTTCGAGTTTTTGTGTCTCTGCCACTTTTTGCTCCATGAGCGATGCCACTGGAGGAAGAAAAAGCGGCATAAACATGAACTTGCTTGCGCTCCGCGCGGAGTCATCGGCTCTGCGCTGGACCCCCCCCCCCCTGGCGCGCGGAGCGCGCCATGGGGCCCCGCCGGAGGCGGCGCCGGTGGGGGGCCCGGCGCAGCACCAAGAAATCCGCGAGGAGCGCCAGAAGCTCATGTATACAATTCGGCGGTGGACAAACCTCCCTTTAGTAAAACTCCCCTTGGTGAAAACGGCCTGGGACCGAACGCGGCGGACTTGGACCTGCAAAAATGACGGCCGCGACGCCCTCTCGCGAACCGAAAACGGTAAATTCCTTAATCGACGTGTCAGGGTAGGAGGTCTATCCACTTCCGAACAATGGGGACTCGGCCAAAAGAAACCTCCGCAAAAGACCGAGCCCTGGAGTCCGCGATCTGTTCCGTGAAGGCCCAGATTCGTCGATCGAGACTCGTGGAGATCTTGTTGGGGGCACCTCGAAATCCAAGAGACCCAGGGCACCCTGGCAGAATCCAACCGGTTTCTTGGCACACGCCCCCGCTGTGTGGTTCTCTTCTGCAGAGGCCCACGTGCTCCTCGACGGCCCTCGCTGCGCATTTTTTTTTTAAGCGCACGCCCGAGCGATCCGGTGGGGGGCCCCGCGCAGATCCAGGACATCCGCGAGGAGCGCCAGAAGTTCATGTGTGTGGTTTTCTCTCCTGCAGAGACATCGTAAGCCATTGGATAGATGTGCTCATCAAGTCTGCTGATGCTGATCTTCAAGCCAACACTGGCCAATCTCTCCTCAGCAGACTGAAGAAATCATCACACATCTGCAGTGAATCTGTATTGTCGCAAGTATGCTCAGGAAATCACTGTAGAAGTGATCCTGTGCAAGTACAGTCGACAAAGAGACCCCAGGCTGCTCCTCGACGGCCCTCGCTGCGCGACAAAAAGAAGAGGAAAACGCACACGCCCGAGCGATTTGGGCGCCCGAGTTATCCAGGGTAACTCGGGTCCGGGGCAACTCGGGTTTGGATTCCCGAAAAACGAACCCGAGTTAGCCCTGACCCGAGTTACAAGGCATGAGCGATTCTTGCCCCGGTGCCGGTGCCGGTGCTGGTGCCGGTGCCGGTGCCGGTGCCGGTGCCGGTGCCGGCGCGGTGCCGGTGCCGGTGCCGGTGCCGGTGCCGGTGCCGGTGCCGGTGCCGGTGCCGGTGCCGGTGCCGGTGCCGGTGCCGGTGCCGGTGCCGGTGCCGCTACCGGTGCCGGTGCCGGTGGCCGGTGCCGGTGGCCGGTAGCCGGTGCTGGTGCCAGTGCCGGGGCTGGTGCCGGTGCCGGTGCTGGTGCTGCGGCCGGTGCTCCCAAAACATCCTCTCCTTCTCCTTCCCGCCTCCCGCCTCCCAGTGCCCCTCCCGCCCCTCCAGAGAGGCCCCGCCTGAGCGAGGAGGGTAACGGAAACCCATACTATTTACACGGTTTCGTGCCCTTCCCACCTCTCCAGGGAGGCCCCGCCTGAGCGAGGAGGGCATCCCACCCCTCCAGGGAGGCCCCGCCTGAGCGAGGAGGGTATCGGAAACCCATACAATTTACCTGGTTTTGTGCCCCTCCCACCCCTCCAAGGAGGCCCCGTCTGAGCGAGGAGGGTATCGGAAACCCATACTATTTACATGGTTTCGTGCCCCTCCCTCCCCTCCAGGGAGGCCCCGCCTGAGCGAGGAGGGTATCGGGAACCCGTACTATTTACATGGTTTCATGCCCTTTCCATCCCTCCAGGGAGGCCCCGCCTGAGCGAGGAGGGTAACGGAAACCCATACTATTTACATGGTTTCGTGCCCTTCCCACCTCTCCAAGGAGGCCCCGCCTGAGCGAGGAGGGTATCGGAAACCCATGCTATTTACATGGTTTCGTGCCCCTCCCACCCCTCCAGGGAGGCCCCGTCTGAGCGAGGAGGGTATCGGAAACCCATACTATTTAAATGGTTTCGTGCCCCTCCCACTGACATGGGTGAGGAGGAGGGGAGAACATTACCTATCCATCTCACGTCCTACTCCTCCCACTGAGGAGGGTGAGGAGGAGGGGGAGTTCTGCGATGAGGAAGGCTTCATCATGATAACGGTGATGACGATGGTTATTCTGCTGTTCGCGATGACGATGCCGGTGGCGATAATGGTGATGGACGATGACGATGGCGATAACGGTGATTATGATGATGATGATGATGATGACGATGATGATGATGATGATGATGATGATGATGACGATGACGATGATGACAACGATGGCGACGACGATGAGGATGATGCAGATGCTGGTGATGATGACGATGCTGCTGCTGATGCTGACGTTGCTGGTGCTGTTGATGATGATGACGACGATGATGATGATGATCATGACGTCCACGATGATGCGGACGATGACGATGCCAAGGACGGTGATGGTGATGATGATGGCGATGCTGATGATGATGATGATGACGATGGTGGCGACAGCGATGATGATGATGACGATGACGCTGGCGATGATGATGATGATGCTGATGATGACGAAGATGATGATAGTTATGATGATGCCTATGATGCTGACGATGATGATGATGATGATGATGTTGATGATGTTGGTACTGATGATGATGACGATGATGCTGATGATGACCACGACGGGGTGACGACGATGCTGCTGATGATGCTGATGATGACGACGATGATGCTGGTGATGATGATGATGCTGATGCTGATGATGATGATGCCGAGGATGAGGAGGAGGAGGAGCAGGACGACGAGGAGGAGGAGGAGGAGGAGGAGGAGGAGGAGGAGGAGGATGACTCGCTTGAACGAGGAGGGTCGCGGACACCACTACTCTTTACCAGGTTTCGTAGGCCTCCCCCCTTCAAGCGGGGCCCCGCCAGAGCGAAGAGGGTATCAAGAACCCGTACTATTTACAAGGCTTCGTTTCCTGAGCACCTGTCCTCCCTCCTCCTTTCTTTCGTCTGCCCTTTCGTGCGTACTTACTCGCTCGATGAGCTTATCCTTCGTGTTGATGTTGTCGTACCCCATGGGTCCCACGAAACTTTTAATAATTTTTATGTGGGGAACTCCGTTTGCATAATTTTACCATTGATTGGACTGCAATCGATTCCACTGGGTTTGCACTTGATTGGCTTGCAACCGATTGGATTGCAACCGCTGGGGGGGCCCACAAGGGGCAGCGACGAGGAGGCGGCGACGGGACGGTGACGGCGAGCAAGGAACCGCCAGACCGACCCTCAGGCCAAGACGACGGGCGGCGACGACGCAGCAAGGGGGGGCGAGGGGCGACGGCAAGGACGGGAAAACCAGACCGCCCCTCAAGCCCAGACGACGGGCGGCGACAGGGCGGCAACGGCGAGGAGAGAGCCGCCAGACCGCCCCTCAGACCCAGCAACTAGGAAAAAGAGAAGGCCCCCTAAGTGCAAGCACTGTTTAAGAAATGTCATAATGTTCAATGCCAATGATGTTTGTCATCCGGTGCCAGTGCTGGCGCCGGCGCCGGTGCCGGTGCCGGTGCCGGTGCCAGTGCTGGTGCTGGTGCCGGTGCGGTTGCGGGTGCGGGTGCCAGTGCCGGTGCTGGCGCCGGCGACGGCGACGGCGCTGGTGCCCGTGCCCGTGCCTAGAGGCCTCCTAGATGGGGTCCGAGTAGATGGGGTCGAAGGATCGCACCGCATCGCCAATGCATCGCCGATGTATCGGCGATGCATCGGCGATGCACTGGCGACGGTGGCGATGCATCGGCGACGTAGGCGTGGAGAACATCGGGCTCCGTATCGAGCCGCATCGCCGATGCATCGCCGATGCATCGCCGATGCATCGGCGATGCGGCGCGATCCTCCGACCCCATCTACTCCGACCCCATCTAGGAAGCCTAGAGTGCCG